CCCCTCCCAGCCCCGCCCCTGCCGCCAGCTCACCTCATGTAGGACGCAGGGGACAGGGGCTTGGGCTTCGCCCACTGGTATGGGTGCTGCGGCACCGCCAGGTACTGGTCGCAGAAGCCGCCCTTCCTGATGTGCTGGAAAGAGGAGAAGTCTTCGGGCGCGAAGTCGGCCGGGGGCGGGGGGCTGCCCAGGTCTTCCCCGACGGGCTCCACCTTGAGCGCCACCGAGGGCGGCTGCTCCAGGGTGGTCTTGCGGGACTTGACAGGGACGCCGTCCCCCAGGTCCAGGCTGCTGTCAGTGGTCAGCGCGTTGATGGCGGCCACGATGGCCGAGCTGGTGTACTGGGTGGTGTTGCCCAACCACGAGTCGTCGGTCACGCTGACCCGCGGGGAGCCGTGCGGGGACGGCGTGGGCGAGTGGTGGGGTGAGTAGGGCGGCTGCCGGCCGTTGAGGCTGTACTTCCTCTTGTTGCACGGGGACGCGGGCCTGGAGGAGCGGGCACCCAGCCAGCTCTCCTCAGTGACGCTGGCGCGGGGCGAGGTGGAGGGGGAGTGCCGCGGGGAACCCAGCAGCGTGCAGGCCCCCAGCCCGCGGGGAAAGCCCTCCTCAGGGTCCGTGGTCTTGGGAGACACGCAGGGAGACTGCCATGGCGACGTCTGGGGGGACGCGTACGGGTACGAGTAGTTGGACTCGTAGGAGGAGGCCTCTGAGTTGCAGCTGCGGGAGGACAGGCTGCTGGCCGGGCTCAGGCACGAGGGGTCTCTGTAGGCCTCCAGGCTGGGCAGACTCAGCGTGGCCGTGGAGGGGGACCGTTTGGAGCTGGGGAGGACGTCTTCCACCTCCACATCGTGGAAAAACTGGTTGTTGTTGTGGTACAGACCCAAGCATGAGGTTATCTCGATGCGAGGACTCTCCAGGGCAGGGGCCCCATCTGGCCTGGCGTGGCCGGAGGAGAGGAAGTAGCCCGTGGGCCCACCGTCCAAAGCTGCTCCGTACCCGGAGGGGTGATCCGCTGGCGGGACGATGCCCGGTGTGGAGGTCTGAAGGTTGTGGCATGGGGCCGGCAGGGTAGAGTGTGCTGTGGGGAGCGGCAAGGCAGGGCTGACGTTGGAGGACGCATAGCCATAGTGTTCTAGAGAGAAAAAGAAGCAGATGGTGGCATGAGGGGCTGGGCATCACAAAGCAGAAACCCATGACCTCAGGGCAACCGGCAGCCCCTGGCCTTGACGAACGACTGGGGGGCCTCAGACCCCACGGAGCGGGCCTCTGCCAACGCCCTGAGACTACACTGCCCGACAGCTCCAGGCCACTTGGAGTAACAGGTCCCCATGAGCCCCTCACTGCCCACCTGCCCTCCTCCCCCAACAGCAGCACAAGCCCCCGAAGGTCCCTCCCAGACAGAGGCAGCCGAGTCCTCACCAGTTCCACTCTTCATTCAAAAACCACCTTCCCGAACCACCCCATCTTCATTTAAACCCCAAACTCAACATGTGGGCCCTCCTTCTCTAGTTTATTTTTTCTCCTAAATACGTATCACAATCTAACAGCATGTTTTTACTCATTCATCTCACACTGTCATCTCTTTGACAAACAGAAACCTAAGTTCCATGAAGGCAGAACATTTGGACGTCTTAGTCTATTCTGGCTCACCACTGTTTTCAGAGCCAAAGACTGTGCCTGGCACATAAAGTGTGTTCAATTTGTTTAATGGATGAATGGTTGGTGGGTGGGTGGACAATGGATGATGGACAGACAGGTAAATAAACTGATGGATGGATCATGATGGACATGGTGGGTGAGGGGATGATGGGTAGATGGAGGGTAGGTGGGTGGATGGATGGTGATGGACAAACGAGGGAGAAATGAAGGATGAAGAGATGGGCTATGAAGGGTGGATGGGTGGGTGGATGAATGGCTGGATGATGGATGGATGGACAGGTAAGCGATGGATGAATGATGGATTGGGGATGGAGGCATGATAGATAACTGGTGGATGCATGGATGGATGGATGAATGGATGGTGATGGATGGATGGATGAGGAATGGAGGAATAAAGGATGGATGATGGATGGATGAATAAATGGATAGTGAATGGAGGAATAATGGATGGATGATGGATGATGATGCATGGATGATGGATGGATGATGATGGATGGATGGATGGATGGAGAATGGAGGAGTAATGGATGGATGATGATGATGGATGGATGATGGATGGATGGATGGATGATGATGGATGGACGATGGATGGATGGGGAATGGAGAAATAATGGATGGATGATGGATGGATGATGATGATGGACAGATGGATGGATAGGGAATGGGGGAATAATGGATGGATGATGATGATGGATGGATGGATAGATGGATGAGTAGATAGCGAATGGAGGAATAATGGATGAATGATGGATGGATGGATAATTGATGGATGATGATGGATGGATGGATACGGAATGGAGGAATAATGGATGGATGAGGACAGATGGATGAGGAATGGAGGAATAATGGATGGATGATGATGATAGATGGATGGATGCATAGGGAATGGAGAAATAATGAATGATGGATGGATGGATGATGATGATGGGCGGATGGACAGATGGATGGATAGGGAATGGAGGAATAATGGATGGATGATGGAAGGATGGATGATGAGGAGGACAGATGGATAGGGAATGGAGGAATAATAGATGGATGATGGATGGATGACGATGGATAGATGGATGATGGATGGATGGAAAGGGAATGGAGAAATAATGGTTTGATGATGGATGGATGGTGGATGGGTGGGTGGATGGATGGATGGATGGATGTGTTTTAGATCTAAGGACCTAGAGATGTAAACAGATTTTAATAGGCCTTTCACTGTTTAGGTGCCCTCATCACCAGCTACAAAGAAAACTCCTCAAGGATTGGATGAAAACATAGACTCTGAAATCCCCCTCACGGAGATTTTGAAACTGGCTCATGTCCTAGGAATCCATCTTTTAGAACAAAACAGAAGATTCCGGTACACAGCTAATTCTAAGGATCATTATGTGTTAATTACACTCAAAATATTTTTTAAAATCATTATTAGGGAAATTAGTAATTTTAACAGGAAAGATGTGCTTCTGGATTTCTGATTTGAAAAGACTTTATGACATCTTGGAACCTCATGATTACATGCCTGGAGATGGGTATTCCCAGGCCTCTAAATAATACAAACAAGCACATGGAAATCCTATATTCATCTCCTGGTGCAAATGCACTGGCTGGAAGATTTTTATTCAAGGACAGTACTGTCTTTCCGCTAAGTTGTAGTTCAGAAACCAACAAGGATAAATGCCAAGAAAATCGAGGGTCTCAAAATACCAATCCAAACCCCACTGTATTTACTAACAGAAATGGTTCTAACGCGCAGATAGGTGGGAAACACGGCATGGCGGCCTGGTAAGAGGACACACTGTGGCCTCAATGCCAGGAGTCACAGCTGCCTTCTGGAAATTCCAGACACTCAGGGGCCAGAGCTGTGACAAAGAGAAAGAAACGGAACTGCGATGGAGCCACACCTCACAGGTGTGACCAGAAGCTCTCAGAGGTGGGAGCTGAGACCTGCTCAGGACGTCTTTGTACGGGAAGGGCCCCTTAGCTAAGGCTGAGCACCTTGGGGATGGTGCTAGCCAGGCCCCAGTCCCGCCTTCCCCATCATAAAGAAATGCCCTCAAGAGGACGGGAGCCATGCAGTCTCCTGCACCCAAGAGAGAATAGGAATTGTCAATAAATCCAGGAGGTGGCCAGGCACGGTGGCAGCTCACACCTGTAATCCCAGCACTTTGGGAGGCCGAGGGGGCAGATCACCTGAGGTCAGAAGTTTGAGACCAATCTGGGCAACATGATGAAACCCTATCTCTACAAAAAATACAAGTAGCCAGCAAGGTGACGCGCGCCTGTAGTCCCAGTTACTCGGGAGGCTGAGGCAGCAGGATCGCTTGAGCCCGGGAGGTGAAGGTTGCAGTGAGCTGCGATCACACTACTGTACTCCAGCCTGGGTGACAGAGCAAGACTCTGTCAAATCAATAAATCAATCAATAAGGAGGTCTTTCTTTTCCCAGAGCCACAGGCGGGGCCTGGGGTGGAGCTGGAGCTGGGCATCCTGACGCCAATGCCAGCATCCAGCCTGGCCTCTGGTCAGGACACACACACCATCCCCGGGGGCTGCCCCAGCCGCGAAACGCCAGCGCCGGGACTGACCACCCGTGTCATCCACTGGGCCCCCCATACTCCACGCCACGCTCCATGCTCACTGGACACTTCAGGCAAACACCAGGCTCCAATGCTAAAACTTCGGCGACCATCTTTCTAAAAATGGAGCTGGAAAGCAGCTTCCTGGAGAAGGTGAGGCTTCCAAGGAGAATTTGTCCTCCGATCTGCTGGTGATACCTGGGGGGCTCTGGGCCAGGCAAGCAGTAGCCCTCTGAGCGCTCCGCCTGGGCGTCACAGTGGCCCCTCCGTGGCCCGTGCAAAGCTCCTGAGCCAGCTGCATCAGACCCGCTGGACAACAGGCCACACAGGCAGGTCCCCCTCTGCCCGGTGCCCCACACGCCCGGGTGCCCATGCTAGGCCAGCCCTGATGTCTGCCCAGCGCACAGTGCTGCAGGAGACCCACAGAGCCATGACTAGCTCTGCGTCTGGGGGTCCCACGGTGGACACAAGGAAGGCGGGGTGGGGGACCAATGAGGGGGTTTTGTCGAGCGCAGGCCTGCGGCTCCTGGGGGGTTCCCATTGGGGCACTACACAGAGCCACCTGTTCACAGGTCTGCGGCTCCTGGGGGGTTCCCGCTGAGGCAGCATGCCGAGCCACCTGTTCACTACTCTGCATTCTCACCAAAAGTTGTCTGAAAGATATTCCTTAGCCAGAAATGCTACATTATACACACCAGCGCAGGAACTCACACCTACACTTAGTGCTGGGCCCGCTTATTTGTCTAGAAGCCCTTTCGCCTGTTGGAGCAGAAATATGACATTCCGTTAGGAATGAGCTTCCGTCTCAAACCAGCCATCAACTCCAGGAGACGCGGAAGCACGGGAGCGGAGCTGAGGGAACATGAAGGCGGCGGGGATCCGATCACGGGAGCCCAACCTCCCTCCCACACCCTGACTTCCTCTTGGAGGTATCCGTGGCCTTCAACTGGCTCTTCAGGCCCTACCTGCTCCACACACTTCCCCTCACTGTCCAGACCTCAAAGGGGGCTTAACTGCAGTTGATTAATGTACAGATTCCTACACTTCCTGTTTCCCAATCAAAAGAATATTTATTTCCAAGACAGCTGATGCCACAGTTGAACTACCATTTGTTGGTAGGAAGGTAATTCTGAAGAATTTTTTAAAATCCTAGCAATTAACAGAGCAAATCTTGGGGCCTCCCCACCACTCACCCTCCCACAGTACTCAGCCCTGAAACGGGTGCCCAGCCAGTGGCAGAGCCCAGAGCTGGGTCACATGGGGTACTAGAGCCAGATCACCGGAAGGTTCTAGATGAAACGGGGCAGGAAAGGGGAGGCGGACCTCACAGGTCTCTGTGTGCAAGTCCTCTGGGGCTGTAGCCCTTGATGTTTATGTGACAGGGGCCCGGGCATGAGGGGAAGTGAGGAAGAGGAGGAGACTCCACCCGCAGCCAGAGCAGGAAGTGCATGCAGCGAGGCCCACGGACGCCCAGGGCACCAGGGGGCCTTTATTTAAACTAAAGTATTGCAATAAAACCTGATTCAATGAGGCAAAGAAACACCATAAAGCTTTTATTAAAAAACAAAAAGGGCTCACCTAAGCATGAGTTTTCCCTGATCAAATAATGGCAAAATGAAAGCTCAAATGCCTGAATTTCATTAGGATCCCTTGCCCAGGTCCTTGGAGGGCGGGTGGTGGATAAAGTTCCCTTGTTCTTCCTAGAACAAGAGCAAGGTGGGGGGTCAAGCTGCCCCCAGAGGCCAAGCCCCACACACCAGGGGCCACTGTCCTGGCTGTGAGCCCCTCCCTTCCAGCTCCCAGTGAATTTGGTTTCATGACCCACCTAAACCATATTCAAATCTGAGTTAACTATTCAAAGGGGTCATATTTACATGAAAGGAAAATATTCCCAGTAACTTTCTTAATGATTCTGAGCTGCTTGGCTGACTCATGTCACGCCAGACGCCACCGCCGAGGTCGGTGACCCCACTCCCTGGCCACCGTGTTGGAGCGCCTGGCTCTTTGCCAAGGAGGGTTCATTAAATTACAGTGCAGGTGAGCAGGGAGACAGAGCTGGATTCTAGGCGATGATCACGGAGAGCACATTCAAAATCCCTTAACAGAAGGTAACGGCATGGCCCCTCCGCTGAAGGCACCATCTCCCCACTTTTGAGTCCCCTGATCCTCACCGGCTTGCTCAGCCATCAGGTGCCCCATGACACACAGGTGGCCACGCGGGGAGCACCAGCTCTCAGGCCGGCCCAGTCCCACTGGCCTCAGCAAGTTCCACATGTCAGAGCTGTTAAAAGTGATCTGTCTCACTCTGAGAAATAATTCACTGCAGAACCACATACCTTTCTCGTTTCTGAACGACCACAAAAAACTGTATTGGTGCATGACATTAAATTAATACATGAAATACTTCTGGTCAGGGCTCCCTACGGGCGGGCAGCATTCTAACCTTGCAGACCCTGCCCTGCTGAGCCCCCGGGCACCTGCCCCTCACAACACGCAGTTCCCAGATGGTCACTCCCTCACTCGCTGTGTGCAGGGCAGGACAGCCACACCTCCGCCTTGCGCATCAGGCCAGCACTGCTGACAAGAATCACCAACTCCGGCCACAGCCAGATCTCTCATCTTTCACAAACTCTGAGAGGCGGCCGTCACAGATGATGTTATTTTTCATTTTAAGGAACATCCTCTTCAGCACGTGCTGGGGCTGAACTGCAGGTGGACCCCCAGGCACTGCTGTCACCTCTCCACACAGCCACGGAGTCTGCTGTGGGTGAGGCCAGATGACAACTGTGCATGTACTGGAAATAAAACGAAGCAGAGCGATCCACGCCAAGACCGTGCTGTTGGAAGCAATGTGCTTAGTAGGCCCGGGAAACGCTGCCTCACAGTGGCACCAGGACATGGTCAGGCCCGTGGCATGACAGACAGCAACAGCTTCCCAGACACCGTTCCCCCAACAATCTGCCAGCAAGAAAGATTTACAAAGGCAAATAGGATGGCCTCATCACAGCGCAAACAAACAGTATTTAATGTTCCATAAATACGCACGCCAACGCCTTAATAAGGGTCCTTCGTCCAGCCCGGGGCCCAACCTGGGACATCGTTCCTCAGAGGTACTGCAATATTCCCCCTGGTCAGACGCACACATCACTGTAAAGCATCCTTTTTGAATTCTGTTTTCAAGGAATTAAAAAATATCCGAGTTGTTCATGGCTAGCTGAGATCTTCCTTTGAAAAGCACAACACAAAACTGAAATATTCCAATCTGCCAGATAACTCCACCCTCCACAGAAACCCCTCTGGAACCTCAGGCGGTGAGCTGTGCATGGTAATAGCAGGAACGCTCTCCTAAAACACTGAACCTGAACAACAGCGCATTCCTAATTCAGCACTGTCCTGGGACCTCTCTGCTCACCAGGTGTCTCTGCCACGGGTTTCCTGCTGCAGCCCCTGACCAGCCAAGGGCACCTCAGGCCCTCTTGGGGAAGATAAATCCTATTTGGTGAAAATGGACTTGAGAATAAAAGTCTTCCAAAGCTTCATTTCTGCATAAGATGTTCTCTTTCCACAGGGAACCATTAAATGCCCCAGCAGTGGGCACAGGCCAGCGGCAGACCCGGGCACACAGAGGTTTGGAGGGTGGCCCTGACTGGCAGGGAGGCTCCAGCCCAAACATAGAGGCCTTGGCCAATTTCCTCCGAGTTGCCACGGCGACCGTGCTGGCAGCAGCCCGGCTGGCCAAAATAACTTAGAAAACAGGAGCCCTGGGGCGGGAAGCAGGGCACGCCCGCCTCCCAGCTGACAGCGAAGCAGCTATTTCCTGAGCCCCAGAAGGGAGCGGGGCCTCCTCTCTGCAGAGGGAAGCCCGGGGCCTGCTCCTGGGTGGACACAGCGAGGAGCCAGACCCTGGAAGCCCAAACACCACTCCCATCCCGCCTGGGAAATTATTTACAACATTCTCTTTTCATTGTCCCAACAAATGGTTATTGAATATCTATTCTTCGCACCTGCCGAGCACTTTCGAAATAAAGAACAAGGCACAGCCCCTCCCTCAAAGTGCCCCGTGAAGACCTAAGTCCAGCGAGATGGAAGGGGTGGGGGCCACAGCGGTGTGGGCCAGGCTCCCGGTCACACACAACCGCCCTGCGGATGCAGCTCTCGACCCTGGTACACTGACCTCAGCTCTGCCAGGACGTACAGCCCCTTCTCGGGGGGTCCGGTTGACACACTGCCTCTTGGGCTCAGGGCTGGCCACGTCCTTTACAACAAAGCTTGACTTTCTGTGCTAAGCTAATCTATAAAACCCAGTTTGCCTTGCTTTGCAACTGATCTCAGACTTATTCATTTATATCCAGGCTCATCCCAGAAATAACGTGAAGTAGTTTCTATCACTTGTTAAAGGCTGGAGAGTCAATGTAATCATTTAACAATGTGATATAAATAATTAACATCATTGAATAATTAATCATCAAAATGCAGTAATAATGGTAATAAAAAGAAAGGAGAAAACAGCACGGGTGTCTCACAGGAAAACATAATATGTACACTTAACATATGTGATACATAAAGAACCTTTTCCAGCAACTTCTTGACACCATAAAAGGAGGAAGGGGCTCTTCTCAGCTCTGGCCTCTCCTGCTCGGAGCCCCCACTCCTAAAGCCCAAAACCACGGTGGTCTCTGGAGGGGCAAGGACCCAGCAGAGAGGTTTCACAAGCAGCCTGGAGAGCCAGCAGCTCAGCTCTGCGGGGTTCTCAGGGAAGAGTGCAGCTCCAGAGGGCCCAGGGTGCTGGTGAGGGTGAGGGTCACAGCTTCACTCCTTCTGCTCAAGGAGCATTTGGGGGGAATGAGCCTGGTGGGTGCTGGGGAGGACTGTGTCCTGAACCCACCTGGGAGGCCACCTGCTTCCGGGTCAGGAGGGACCCCAAGTTCACCAGGGTCCCCACATCCGATGCCACCAGGAAGTCTGCCCACCTCAAAATGGTGTAACAACTGGCGTCCTTGTGAGACTAGGCCTCAAGGGGCACAGACTGGCCTCGTGTGCATCTTCCCGGATAAGCCTAGAGTTACCTGTGCAGTCACAGGAGGGCCGGCGGTGCCCTCCCCCTGCGGCTGCTGTGACGCAGTCACGTGTGCACGGAGGCAGGGAAGTGGCCCTTGTCACTGGGCATGCGCTGAGCACCTGCCAAGCCAGACACGGCGCCCAGTGC